AGACAAAGGAAGAAAAAGGGCGGTTAGACTCTAGCTTGAAACCCAGTGGCGTAGTTCAGGGTCTCTGAACGCTCTCGGGCGGAAGAGTCACCGCGGGCGGGACCGTGCTCAGAGCAGCACAGTGAGGTTTGGGATCACAGATACCCATCCTTGGCAGTTTGCTTCGTGCCCAAGTGGGCTGGCTGTACGCGTGCCTCCCCAGGCTCCTGCCTTCCCTTCCTTGTTTCAGAGCAAAGGCCAAAATCTGCAGAGAAGGAAGTTTCCTTCGTGGCAGAAGAACCCAAACCAACCACCCCACCACCCAGAAAAACGGGAGGGGAGGTCCCCTAGAGGGAAAATGGCTTTGCGGAGCAGACCCTGGAGGGAAGCAGGTTTGCGGCAGATCCGGGGTGCGTGTGAAGAATGCCGCTGTCGTTTTACCGTGGTTTGGATCACCAGAGGAGACACTCCACAGAGGGCGGCGGGCTTTGCGTGGTCACCGGTGCCTTTGCGGTTCGCTCGTCTCTTTCTTCAGAGCTGCCTTGTTCCGTGGGACACAGGGCAGCTGCCACTTTTTATTTCAGAGCTTCTGCGCGCACACCATGTGAATGCCCCAGGGCTGCTGCAGTCAAGCATGGTGGCGATGATACATGTTATATGTGCATTGACCACTGTTAAATTTTTAAATTTGCTTTTACGACGGCAGAGAGGAAAAAAAGTTCTTTAAACTATTTCTGTGCATTGGAAGGTACTTAGGGAATCCCCCTCTCAGCCACATCGGCCATGGAGGAATCCCACAGGCCCTGTCACCTGGTGGCGGGGAGCCCTCCTGCAGGGTGGCAGCCTGTTCCGGGGTTGGGCAGCGCCTCCTCCTTCGCAGGGACCCAGCACATCCACCGGTCCCTGCCTCGAGCTCCTGGGAAACCACAAAGGGGGTCTGTTTCTAGCCCTACCTGATGGCCCCATGCACTGTCCTTTAAACTAAACAAGTCCAATCCCTCCGGCCACTCTCCACCCTTGGCACCCAGATTGGAACTTGGTGACAGGGTCTGGGCCCCGTCTAAGTGTCCCCCACAGAGACCGGCCAGCAGCAGGGTTTCCTTAGGAGTTTTGCACTCATTTTCCTTGCACTTGGCTGTCCCTCCCTGGGTTCATTGCCAAGATAAGAATGGCATGTTCAGAATGTCTCCCTATCACAAGAGCCCAAGCTTAAGACACCGATCTTCTTGTTACTCTTCGGCCCTTATGTGAGGGTCCCTGTGAAACATTTCTCCAGGAATTTTATTCAAAATAAACGGAGCCCACATGCTAAGGAGATCCTTGTCGCATTCTCGGGAGCTCTGATCTTCCAGATGCTGGGAACTGTTGAGCCCACCCACCCTCCGTTCGCCTGAGCTTCCCGGTTTCCGAGAGAATTCCGTGCTCTTTTAGAGTAATTCCACGAGCCCCAGGAACCACGTGAGGTATCTTCTCGTTCATTCGCCCAGCGTCCTCGTGGAGCGCGCTCTGCGTGCCTGGCCGAGCCTTACGTGCACCTGGACAGGAGTGGAAAGAGGTCTGGGGTCTCTCCCGACCGCAAGAAGCTCAGAGACTCAGAGAGAAACGTGACGGGAAATGGCCCCACTGTGTCCCACCTATCCTACCGCCATAGCGAGTTAGGGCTGCGGAACCCTCTGTGGGAGCACAGCTGCTCCCCCGCACAGGTTGAAGGCGGAGGTATTTGTCATTATCTCGGGTGTAGGAAAGAGGGGCGAGGGAAGCATCACGCAGGAGTCTCTTCTGCATGGGCAGTCCTGCCATTTCTACTCTAACATTGCTCTTCAGAGGAAAGAATGCTACCATGGCCTTTGTTTCTGAAGGCACATCCACAGTTCTGGAGCTGAGGGAGGCCTGCCTGCCTGCCTGCCTGCCTGTCTCCACCCCTTGATCCCCAGGGAGCTGGGGCTGGTCAGCCCCTTCCTGGCTACTCTGGGTCCCAGATAGCAGTGGTAGTCCCCCTCCCATTCCTCCTCCTCTGACAGGTGCCCCCTTCCTGCCTCAGGGACAAACCTCTTGCTTTTGCTCCCTCCTCCAGCCCTAGTCACCTGCCTGCTTCCTCCAGCCACCCTCTCTTCTTCCCTCATCCTACTCCTTCCCCTGGAGCCCTGGCTCCACCCACAGCTCCCTTCACTGCTCCCTCCTCACCCAGTAGGCTCTTGCTAGCTCCTTAGCTCACTAGTACGCACATCCTGCCCCCAGGAGAGAGGAAGCCAGCGTGGTTTGGCGTCTTCGCTCCAGGCATCCCTGTGCTGTGTCCAGCTGCCATGGTCTCACTGCTCCTTGTCATTTGATGTCCTCCTCACCATCTGTCTTTCCGTCCTCCATGCTGAGCAGAACATCCCTGCAGCCTGCAGGGATCGTCTGTACACAGTTGATCAGCCAAAAGCTGCCGTCACATGTTTAATAAAAGTAACCTCTCTGGCCCTGCTTAGAAAGCAGGATGGGGCACATCGTCGCTTTAAATGTATTCTTTTGAGTACCGTGGGCTGTTTTATGCCGAAAGGAAAAGTACTTTAAAACCTTGGATGATGTAATCCACACGTTAAAAATTTTAGAAAAAGAGTGACTATAAAATACATTAGAATTTTACTGACATTCGTCTGTTCTCTTCTGCTTTGCCACCTTGCTCACCTGTGTGAGTGTTTGTTGTTTGTTTGCATGCCCTTCACCCTCTCCATCATTGTCACCCTCCAGAGTCTTCCACACGTGTGAAACGTGTGTGCTGCTTGCATCTTCTTCCTGTTGGAACTTCAGGACATAGGGTTTCCTAAACCTTGTCTGCCACTAGGGGGTGTTCTTGTACACATGCAAATATAGGCAAGTTGCCCTACTTGTGGGAGAGATTTTGTTTTGTTTTGTTTTTTGTAGCCTTAAGTAAATTCATTTTTAGTCTGAAAACTTACCACTTGTCTACAGCTTCAGTCCCCAAGGATCCTTCCTGAAATGCCTTCCCATCCATCATACCTTTCCCTCAACTTGAAAACCGTGAGGCCAAACTCTTCTCTTGCATGTAGCTATATCCCTACACTGGTCTGTAATTGAATTTTTATATTCCAATAAGTTGGAATTGTGACTCAATAAATTGAATAGGATACTGATTTTGTATTTAAAGTAAGGTAACTCGAACTTACTAGGAAACAGAGAAGCCCTAACTTAATGAAAAATTCACAGATAAGGGCTTGAAATAATGATTTAATAAGAGGCAGCAGCAACTGTCTTTTGTCTCTTTCACTGACTGTCTTCATCTACTCACCTCTCCCATCACTGAAGCCTGTATGTAGAACAAGAGGAAAATCCTGTATTCTGTAGGCTTGTTAAGGCATCTTTTGCCAGGCCTGTGGCTCTGGAGGGAGGTCTAGTGTGGGTGTGTGTGATGCAGAGAAGTTGAGTGTCCTAAACAGTGACGGCTGAGATGGTACTCCCTGTGGCCCTGTGAGGTTAGAGACTGTGTGGTGGTGGCGGGCTGGGTGGGAGGGAACGGTGTGGAGGGCGTCTTAGGAGCAGACTGGGCATAGCCTGGAGAGGAAAGAGATGCCCAGGGACTCATGTCCATTAAGTGAGGGGAAAGCTGTGTGACCTTGGTCAAGCCACAGAGCGTCTCTGGACGATAGTTTCTTCATCTGTGAAGGGGAGTCGGACCCGATGAACATAGAGGCCTGTTTAGTTCTAACTCTGTAGTTCTCTAAGAACTTCTGTGATCCTGGAAATGTTTTATAACTGCGCTTGTCCAGTGTAGGAACCATTAGCCCCATGAGACTATTGACTTTTTTCCCCCAATTTATTTTTAATCCTCACCACAGGATATTTTTTCCATTGGTTTTTAGAGAGACAGGAAGGGAGGGAGAGGGAAGGAGAGAGACAGACAGACATCAATGTGAGAGAGATACATTGATTGGTTGCCTCCTGCACACGCCCCTACTAGGGCAGGGATTGTACCGCAACCCAGTTATGTGCCTTTGTCCAGGAATCGAACACAGGGTCTTTGGTGCACAGGGTCTAACCACTGCTCAACCACTGAACACACCAGCTAGGGCTATTGATCATTTTTTAAATGCGCTGGTACAATTGAAGAAATTTCTAATCTATTTATTTAAATTTAAATAGCCATGTGTGACTGGTGGCTACCATATTGGCTCCATAGTCAGTCATGTTTGCTCTGATCAAATATGAATCCAATGATTAAGATGCAGAAAGACCCATGTTAGAGAAAAATAAAACATATACCGGTAATCTCAACATGGACAACTAATGGAGTCACAGGCAAATAACACAAACTAGGATTAACATAAATTGCCTTGAATATGCAGCATTAGTCCCATTCCCTCTGGGTAGCCGCGAGCTCTGAGAAGCAGAGCTGTCAACAGGATTGAGACAGAAGGAAAAGGCTTTCGGAAGGATGGAGACATGCATCTGAGTAGCTGGTCCATTTCCCCGTCACCTTCTCGTGCAGCTGGGAAGGGAGCTGAGATCTGCCCTGTCCTTTTTCCCTATTCCCCCCAAACTACAGGTGGTGACATTTAGGCCAGATGGGGACCAGAGTGGCCCGTTGGACTCTGGAGGTACCAGAGCCTTGAGCTTGACCTCTGGAGCTCTCTAAGGTTGCAAGGGTTCGTGACAACTGTGGGATGTCAGGCCTCCATAGTCAGTCATGTTTGCTCTGATCAAAAATGAACCCAATGATTAAAACATCTCCTTCCTTCCCCACGATGAAGGGGCATACCCGAGAGCAACCCAGCACAAAGCTGCCCGACCCGGAAGTCATCCAGTTCTGTGTCTCCGTCTTCAAACGCTCCAGGCTCCTGCTCCCCAGATGGCGTGGACCAGCAGTTCTTAGAGGACTTCCACAGGGTGACCAAAGGGGGCTCCACCGAGGACTCCAGCCAGTACTACTGCGACAAGGTGAGTGAGCCCAGGCCCTGCGGTGCTCAGGGACCCGGTGACCCACCCAGGCTTCCTGGTGCAGAGGCACCCGGTGGAGAGGGAGGCAACCTCACTGACCACTTCCCAACGTTTTCCAGAATGACAATGGGGATGGCTACTTAATCTTGATCCGTATCACGCCCGATGAAGATGGAAAATTTGGATTCAATCTAAAGGTATGTCATATGTGTTTGTAAGGATTGTATGCTCTGAAGCAGCCTGTAGATGATTTTTTAATTCCCATTGGACTTCATTTCCACTAGAAACGGGCCGCGTACCTGAGGCTACATAAGGGCACTGGCTCCACCCTCAGCATTGGGAGTGTTTTTATGTGGCCATAGCAGCTGCCTCACGCCAGGTGCCTGTTCTGTGCTTGGTGTTTGCTCTGTACTTATTTATATCCCCTCACTGAGTTCTAATCAGTGCATACTAAGGCTCAGAGGGAGGACGGCCCACAGTTGGCAAGCAGATCTACCCCTTGAAGAGAGGTGATTAAGAGAGCCCCGCCAGCATTGCTAAGCCAATAAGAGAACAGTGTCCAAGTGCAGGGCCATTACCCTCCTTTGCCTGCCTCTAGGCAGGGTCTGCAAGCTGTGGCCTAGGGACCAAAACACCAGTTTTTGCAAATGAAGTTTTATTGGAATACAGCCGCATGCATTCATTTACAGTTGGTGTAGGGCTCCTTGGGCCCTGTGGTGACAGGGTTGAGGTTTGACAACAGAGCCTTCTGTCCCACAAAGCCTAACACGTGTACAGTACTCTCGGGTCCCCTGCAGAAAAAGTTAACCAGCCCCTGCTCTAGAGCTGAGTGAGGGCAGGCGGATGGCCTTTCCTACCCCTCAGGGGCCCTGCCCAGGACCTCGCAGCCTGGGACCTTGTCTGTGGCTCTGTCTCCTCCACTGAAACCCCCTGTCCAGCAGCCCTTAGAGGCTGTGTTTTCGGAGTCCTCCTCCTGGAGCTATTTGCATGTTTTTAAAGGAGCTTGCTTCCTCCAAGAGCACCTGAAGTTCATGGGATGTGGGGGTGGCAGTGGCAGCTTCTGAGCCGTCCTCTGGTTAGTACCCAGCGGGCTCAGGAACCTGTGATTCGGACAGGGCTTGGTCCCCTGGATTAAGAGCAGGATCGCATGAGGTCAGACCCCTCCCCAGTGCCAGAGAGAGCTATGTGTCTTTGTTGCTGTGAATTACTCACGTGGCTGTTTTGGTTTTTATTTCACATATTTGCAGGGAGGAGTGGATCAAAAGATGCCTCTTGTGGTGTCGAGGATAAACCCAGAGTCGCCTGTAAGTAAACATGTTCCTCTTTGTTTTCCCCAAAATCTAACAGAATTCTGTTTCTGCAGCCAGCAGCGAAGAGTGTGTGTAGATGCATGCATATAAACGGCGGGGGGGAGGGGGGGTCCTTGTTTCCGGAACCTTGCTGCTCAGAATGGTCCCCACAGCTACAGCTCCCACTTCACCAACATCACGTGGGAGCTCATGAGAAATGCAGAATCTCAGGCCCCACCCCAGACCTCCCAAAGTAGGATAGAAAGAAACATCAATGATGAGAGAGAATCATTGATCAGCTGCCTCCTGCATGCTTCACAGTGGGGACCAAGCCCACAACCCAGGCATGGGCTCTGATCGGGAATTGAGCCATGACCTCTTACTTCAGAGGTCAATGCTCAATCACTGAGCCGCACCAGCCAGGTAGGATCTGCATTTTTTTTAAAAATATATATATATTTTATTGATTTTTTTACAGAGAGAAAGGGAGAGGAATAGAGAGTTAGAAACATCGATGAGAGAGAAACAGCGATCAGCTGCCTCCTGCACACCCCCCACTGGGGATGGGCCTGCACCCAAGGTACATGCCCTTGACCAGAATCGAACCTGGGACCCTTGAGTCCACAGGTCGATGCTCTTTTAACAAGCTCTCCAGGTGATTAGTGTGCACACTGAAATTGAGAAGTGCTGCTCAAGAGGGGAAACTGAGGCACAGTTTGCTAGTCTGTTTGCTCTGAGTGGGCACATGGGACCTGCCTTCCATCACCTGCTCTCAGTCCTTGGTCTAAGCTTTCTCAGCAGATCATGTGCTCAGAGAGGAAGGTAGAGGGAGTGAGAGATAGAAACATCAATGATGAGAGAGAATCATTGGTAGGGTGCTCCTGCACACCCCACTGGGGATTGAGCTTGCAACCCCGGCATGTGCCCTGACTGGGAATCGAACCATGACCTCCGGGTTCATAGGTTGATTCTTAACCACTGGGCCACACCGGCCGGACCAGATCATGTGCTTCTGTAAAGCAGTGAGCACCAGAGTCCTTGCACCTCCCAGGAAGGCACCGGGATGGGGGCTTTACTCTGAAGGGGCCCGTAAGCTGGCGACTTACTTTTTCTTACTGCTTGTGGCCCGTTTCAGGGACGAAGGCTTTCATTTTACCTTGGCCAGTGCCTCGCTTCTCTCCGTGATGGCTTCTGCCCTTGGTGTTACGCTCACATAGTCTCTCTCCATTGCAAGACGAGTAAAAGCTCACTTTGAGCTGACATATCATTTTCAGACAGCCCATCTAGAAAACAGAAGGTCAGAAGCTTCATAGCCGTGACGCTACATTCATCAGGGAAGGTCGGCCACCCTCAGGAAATGGCTCCGTGATTCTCTCAGCCTGATTCTGGGATGTTTCATAACTTGAATTCTGAGCTGCACGTTGTTGTATTTCCCCTGCCAGCTGCCATGTCATCATCGCATGGATGTAAAAATAATGACGCTAATTCTTGAGGGAGGGATGGAGAACTTGATCACGGTCTCAGGTGTCGGGGCCCCGGGCGGCGGCGTCCTTCCCTTGAGGACTGTGTGATAGTAACCGGAGAAACTCGCTTCCCCTCCACTCAGGCGGACACCTGCATTCCGAAGCTGAACGAAGGGGATCAAATCGTGTTAATCAACGGCCGGGACATCTCAGAGCACACCCACGACCAGGTGGTGATGTTCATCAAAGCCAGCCGGGAGTCCCACACACGCGAGCTGGCCCTGGTCATCCGGAGGAAAGGTAACAGCCGCCTGCGGGGGAGCAGCCCGAGCCAGGCGGGGCCTGAGCTGGCCCTTCCGTGGTTTTGAAAATGTTGAGCTTGTAGCCAACAAAAATCAAGAACTTTCCTATAACAACCGGGGTGTGTGATTTCTCACCTGAAAATTTTCAAGGTCTAACCACAGACGCCTGGCCGCTCCGGCCAGTCCTCTGGAGATGGGCAGCGCCCACCGCCCCCTGTATGCAGGGCATGACCCCCAGTCCTCCCAGGCCCAATGGGCCCACAGCGTACACCTCTCTTAGCTGCCTGGCCCTGCAGGCATTTGCGTTCCAGCCCTTTCTGGAAGGATCGGGTTATATTTTATTCATGTGCATTTGGTTTTGCTGGAGAGGCAGGGGGCACAGGGCCAGGGCGCAGCCTCTGCGTGGTTCTCACTCCGCCTCCCACGGCTGAGGGGCCTTGAGCGAGTTTCTTGCCCTCACGTAAAATGAGGACAAGAAGAACAGCCCTGCCTCGGGGTTCTCGTGAAGATTAAATGGCACCCGTACCCGAGAGCACCGAGAACGCTGCCTGGTGCGTGGTGGGCGTGGGCAGGATGGCTTCTGTGAACACCATCACTGCCCTTGGTGTGGTTGCTGTAGAACAATAAGCCGAGTCCTTGACTGTTTCTGCCTGGCTTTGAAACACTGAAGGACAATGCAGTGTGTGACTCAAAGCCCTAGCCCTACAGCGCTCATCTCTGTTCTGGTCTTACTGGGTGAATGTCACAGCTGCCTCTCCACC